TTAGTCTAGGCTCTCACATTGTTGGCTTATTTTGTCTTTCTGTTTCTTACATATGCATGTGTTCACTGTCTCAGGACGGACAGTATTTAGCCACTTTGAAGGGAAGAGTTTCTAAGAGGTGCCTGAACCAAAAAACAGGACTATGTAGCACTTTAAAGACTAACAAGATGGTTTATTAGGTGATGAGCTTTCGTGGGCCAGACCCACTTCCTCAGATCAAATAGTGGAAGAAAATTGGCATGACCATATATACCAAAGGGATACAATAAAAAAAAATGAACACATATAAAATTGACAAATCAGATTTTAGAACAGAGTGGAGGTGTGGGGGGGGAGGTTAGCGTCTATGAGATAATGATATTAGGGGTGATAATTGAGGAAGCTATCTTTGTAATGAGTAAGGTAGTTAGCATCTTTGTTAAGGCCCATTCATAAAGTGTCAAATTTCCTGTCTTGTTTCAGCAAGACCAGACTAACATGGCTACATCTCTATTACTATTCTAAGAGGTGCCTGGTGCATCATAAAGAGCCAAAGGAGGTTGCAGCTTGTTTTTGCACATATAGGGATTTCCTGCTTTTTAGTTAGGGTTTCTAGCAAGGCCAGATTCGCATCTCATTTACACTAGAATACATCCATCCGAAGTTTTGTTAATTTTATTAGAGTCATTCTGGATTCCCAGCCATGCAAATGAGATCAGAATCACACCTATTATTTCTTTTTCTCCTAACAAGCCTGAGGTCTGTAAAGGATCTGGAGTCTCTGGTTAAATTCTGCTTTCTGGTACATACACACAGCCCCTATTGGCTTCCGTGGAAATTGTCTGGGTGATCCTATAAGGCAGACCTTGCCCTGTGCTCCTCTCGAGAGTCTGCCAGTAATAGACTCTGTGGAGCAGGGGAAGCCGGTCTCTCAAGTTCAGAGTTTTTGTGGGTCCAAGCAAGATGAGAACGGGGGTGCTGGGTATGAGAGAGATGCCTTCCTTGACGCTTAGACATTCAACATTGTCATGGGGTACAGGGGTATGAGTTGGGTGTTCAAAAACACCGGCACTAATTTCAGTGGGAGCAGAGTCAGGCTAATGTTGAGCACTCTTGAAAAATCTCCATGTCAATACCCAACTAGCCGGGCCAACCACCGGACAGGTAAACCTCACTCAGGCTTTGGCTCAGGTCCTCAGCTGGAATCAATAAGCGTAGCTCTGCTGTAATACATGCAGCAACATGGAGTTGCTGCCAGTTGACCGCTCTTTGTTTCCAAATCTGGATTCATTTGACATGTCAGGTTTTTGTTCTCGGACACTCTGGGCATCGGGCTAACTCCACTCCACTCGGTCAAATGGTCCCATTGAAGTCAATGGCTAGTGTTCAGTGCCTTTAAAAAACCCACCCAAGGAAACCACTCCTAGATGCTGGAACTAGGGGTGTGGAAGATGCTGCAACACCCTTTAGCATGAAGTGATCTCCATTATATACAGGGTTTACAATATATATAGCTTTCAATAGAATACAAACTATGCCATCACGCCTGGAGTGCTTTCCTGCTCCTTCTCAGGCAACCGCTGAGTAATACTACTGTAATTTAATTTAATTTTCATCAATGTGGAATATTTTTATGTTCGTGTTTTTTTTTTTTTTTGTTTTTTTTTTTGTTTTTTTTTGTTTTACTCACCATTTGTTTTCCGGAAACGTAACACATTCTAATGGCTTCCCCTCCCCTTCTGGGAAAACAGGAATCTATGCCTTCTTTTTGCCGTTATACTTGCTATGCTAGATGAAGATGTAAGCTGAGTAATGGTCTATTTTTTTCATTAAAATATTGGTTTTTCAGTCTAGAAAGTGAGATATATGCTTTGAGGGACAGAACTGACGTGACTCCATGGTTCACGTTAAATCTATAGCACTTGCAAAAGCTTAGTGGATGGAAATGAAGTAGAAAAGGGAAGTCTATTATAGGTTCATCTTCTCTAGTCTGGCACCCTGAGGACCTGATCAGTTCTGAACGAGAGAATTTTCCGGACCACAGGAAGTCGGTATTGTCAAGCAGCATTACCAAAACTCGCACTGCTTAAACGGCTGTTAGAGGACATTTCGGGGTAAATTAGAGCTAAATAACAGCACAGAACACTGAGAGCCAGGACTGGTGGCTATAAACAAACGTTATGGGAAATTTGGCCACACCCATGAAAAGTGGACATCTGGCTGACTAAAATCCTTATGGGCCATGGAAGTTTCCGGACCAGAGAGTTCTGGACTAGAGAGGTTCAACCTGTAGCAATAGTATAGAATGGACTGTTAGCAAGACACCTGTAATCATCCTGCAATGGAAGAGGCCAGAACATAAGAAAACTTTCTAATAACCGGAGGTTTAATAAAAAGGCTGATTGGGAAATTATGAAGGCACACTTCCTTTATTAGGCTCGCAAGACCTGACAAGTCGAAAGATTCTAGCAGCCCAAAGGCAAAGACAAGAATTACAGACTGCACTGGAATGGGGTTGACAATTAAACAGTTCATGAGCGGGTTAGCTTGTGACCACAGCAGAAGTGTTAGCAGAGCAGATTTCAGGGCCAGTTTGGGCAAAGGTGGATTATTCATCATGGGCCTTCTGAATATTTGTAAGGATTAGTGTAGAAACCAGTACTGGATGCACATTCCAGGGACAGAACATCTGAAATCTATACCTGGGCAGCAACTTGTGACTGTAATGGGACCACCTCTACTGTCCAAAGAGCGCCATCATTCTGTGTCAGCAATACTGCGCCGTGTGGATTTCTGGAGGCGAAATGTGCACAGTTAAACAACAGAGCCAGAGACTAGTGAAACATTCCCGGGGATCTTGATCCTGGTTCTGAATGGCGCACACACACAAGCACAGCTGGAATTTTCAAAGGCAGTGAAACATGCGTCACTTACCCTCCATTAATGTTCTATGGTAGTGGAGTGCCTGGCTCCCTTTGATAATGCTGATCATCTCAGCCTACATGTGTGACTGTGTGCACAAATGACATTGGAACAGCCATACTGGGGCAGACCAAAGGTCCATCTAGCCCAGTATCCTGTCTGCCGACAGTGGCCAATACCAGATGCCCCAGAGGCAGGGAACACAACAGGGAATCATCAAGGCTACGTCTACAGTGCACAGTTATTTTGGAATAAGCTATTCCAGAATAGTTATTCTGAAATAGCTTATTTCAAAATAGCATGTCTACACTGCAGGGAAACCTCATAATGAGTCCGAGGCCGACTTCCCTAATGTAGACGTGCTATCTCGATTTAGAGCCCCAGGAGGAATATCTTAGAATGGCTCTGGTGAGGGGATATTTTGAAATAGCAGCAGTGGAGCATCTACACATGCCTGATTTCAAAATAGCTATTTCGGGACAGGCGTTATTCTTTGTAGAATGAGGTTTACAGAAACTGGAATAAGCCATCCGTTATTTTGAAATTACTGTGAAATAATGGAATTGCTGTGTAGACACTCGCATAGTTATTCTGGAATAACAGACATTATTCCGAAATAACTTTGCTATGTTGACATACCTCAAGTGATCCCTCTCCTGTCACCCATTTCCAGAACAACAGAGGCTAGGGATACCATTCCTACCCATCCTGGCTAATAGGTTCATGGAGGTTAGGTCCATCAATGGCTATCTAGTTCTTTTCTGAACCCTGTTAAAGTCCTAGTCTTCACCACATCCTCTGGCAAGGAGTTCCACAGGTTGACTGTGTTCTGCGTGAAGAAAAACTTCCTTTTGTTTTTAAACCTGCTACCTATTAATTTAATTTGGTGACCCCTAGTTCTTATATAATGAGAACAAGTAAATAACTTTTCCTTATTCACTTTTTCCATACCAGTCATGATTTTATAGACCTCTATCATATTCCCCCTTAGTCTCCTCTTCTCTAAGATGTAAAGTCCCAGTCTTTTTAAGCTCTCTTCATATGGGACCCGTTCCAAACCCCTCATCATTTGTGTTGCCCTTCTCCAATGTGGTATACGAAATCAAATCCCGGATGACAAGTTTTCACACAGGCATCATCTGAGCAGATGGTGTCCCCAAACACCCAGAGCAAAGTGTTGAATGGTTCAATGCTAAGTCAGCAGAAGGTGTCATCTACTGAGTTGCCAACACTTCCTGCAACAGCTGGAATTTCTTTCTAAAAACCTCCTCTTCTGTTATTGACTGACCTTGATCTTGCTTTGTTTATGAGCTCTACCAAAATTAATGTTTCCATTAAGCGCCAGGAGCCTAGCATTTAAAAACACTTTTATTCACAAGATCGGCCAAAGCTTTAAACAGTGAATTCCAGTGGAAACGGACTGTTTTCTCTCATTTTGGGGGCAAAATTTGTGTGCCGGGTTCCTAATGCATCAGTGGCATAGGGTCACCCCAGTGCGGTGTTTGGCACTGAGTTAGATCAGTGTGCGATCAATAGCCCCAATTCAGCAAAAGATCTTGGCGCATAAGTCCTGTGGAAGTCCATGGGATTTCAGCATGGGCCTAAAGTTCAGCATCAATGAAGCGTTTTTAATTAGACAAGGCCCACGTCTAAGGTTCATCCCATTAAGACTGCTGTCTTAGCTTGGGTCAAATCCCATTCCCTTTTTCATTTGCATGATCCCAATTCAACAAAGCACTGCAGCCCGTACTTAAATTCATCCCCATTGAACCAAGCCGTTAAACATACACTTAAATTAATCCCTAGTCCTGTCACTATGTATGTTGCTGAATTTGAGGCCGTGCTGCTTGAACATTGTTGATTTATTATTGATACTTTCGTATTTGTGTTTGGATTAGCTGACTCTAAGAACCATACCTGTGTGTGTTCTCTGGCTCTACTGCTAGGTTTATGTTGAGATTATGGTTAAGTCTAGAAATAAGCAGAGAAACTCTCTCTAACTCATAAGTACTCCAAACACCATAACTGGAGGAGATTCCTCTAATATCACTTTTATTTCTTTGCCCCATTAATAGGCCTTTTTATTTGTCTGCCCCTAGGTATTTATCTTTTACTGCAAGCTGTGTCTGGTACAACAGTGATCCCGTTATGTGAACCAAATGATCTGGAAAACTGCACAACAGCACTAGGTAAGTACAACAGTCTAACACGACCTCTTTAACTAGGCAGATGTCTTCAGTGTCTGGCAAGTCCCATTGGTCTCCTAGAGAGCGGGGTGCTTCTGAAAATCTGGCCCCTTCATGGATGTGCCTTTTAAAAAGCTGGCCCATAAACTTGATGCCACCTTTTAAAACCAAATTGAGTCTGCAAGGTGGGTGCTGGTGGTGAGGAGTCCGAAGAAGTACTAAGCATCTTGCAGGATACAGCCCTGGGTCGTCCCTGCTTTTTATTAAGCCACACGTGGTGTTAAATAACCATGTCTCAGTAAGCAATTCCCTGTGCTGCAGTGTCCACTGATAGAGCTATGCCCAATGCAGGGTGGGAGGAACCATCTAGATGGATTTAAAAAACAAACAACCCGCTAAAGGGTTTGACTGCCTCATGGGAATGGCATTGAAAATCCTCAGTTTTGTGGATGAGCAGCTGGATATGAGTCAGTGTGCCTTTGCATCCAAGAAGGCTAATGGCATATTAGGGTGAATTAGGAGGAGCATTGCCAGCAGATCCAGAGAAGTGATTATTCCCCTTGATTTGGCTCTGGTGAGGCCACATCTGAAGTGTTGCATCCAGTTCTGGGGCCCCCACTATAGAAAGGATGTGGACACATTGGAGAGGTTCCAGCGGAGGGCAATCAAAATAATCAGGGGGCTGGAGCACATGACCAAGAGGAGAAGCTGAGGGCTTTGGGCTTATTTAGTCTGCAGAAGGGAAGAACGAGGGGGGATTTGATAGCAGCCTTCAACTTCCTGAAGGGAGGTTCCAAAGAGGATGGAGAGAGGCTGTTCTCAGTAGAGACAGATGGAAGAACAAGGAGCAATGGGCTCAAGTTACAGTGGGGGAGGTCTAGGTTGGATATTAGGGAAAAACTATTTCACTAGGAGGGTGGGGAAGCACTGGGATGGGTTCCCTAGGGACGGGGTGGAATCTCCATCCCTAGAGGTTTATAAGTCTCGGCTTGACAAAGCCCTGGCCGGGTTGATTTAGTTGGGATTGGCCCTGCTTTGGGCAGGGAGTTGGACTTGATGACCTTCTGAGGTCTCTTCCAACCCTGGGATTCTATGATTCATAAGACTAAATGAAAGTGGCACAGATAAGGTCTGAGCAGTGTTAAGAAACGCAGGCAAAATGACTGGGGGAAAAGACGAACAAAACATTAACTCAACCTACTTCCAGTTCAGACGGAGACTAATCCCCGAGTGGCTCAAGTCGGGATAGCCAGATGCAAGCCTGAAATGCAAGATTACTGCTTCCATGGGCAGTGCATGTACCTTGTGGACTTAGATGAACATTACTGCAGGTAAGAGGAAATGCTTGTCTAATCCCGTTTTGCAGGAGCTGAAGTTGAGTGCCTATGTCAATGACATGCCATTGTATGAATTAACTTTGATCTCTGCCGTCCCATGCTTTCAGACTCTGTGACATTGAAATCAAAAGCAATGTAGGGCCCTGATGCAGCAAGGTATTTAAGCACTTGTCTAACTTTCAGCAGATGAGTAATCCCCTGGACTTCAGTGGGACTTGCATTCAGTGGTTTGAACTGACTGCAGTCAATTGGACTTCACATCTGCTTAAAGTTAG